TCCTTCTTGAGTTGAGTGTTTTCAGTGTTTAGAATGCTTATCTTTTCTTCATAATCTTTCTTTAACCACTCCTTCTCATCTTCTGTTGTCACCTTAATGATACCATTTATTTGAAATGTCTCCACTCAATTTCATTTGCTTTTGAATAAAATTAAACAAATAAATGAAAAAGTAAAAGCTGGATAGTCCCAAACGCAGAGCAAAAATAAATAAATAAAAAATAGCCAAGCATAAGTTGTGGGTCTTCAATGCAATTTAAAAACAAAAATGTCATGCTATCGTTGCAAACTGTAATAGATCTTGCCTTCTGTTTACATTTTCCTTTAAGACACCAAAAAAACATTTATTATTATTTATTTCTGTAAATTCAAAAGGTACTTTTACTATAGTCACTTCCCAGAGTATTGCTTTGTTGATTTTCAGGGGATTTTTTTTAATAGCTCAAGAGAGGTTGAATTCCCAAGTGTGTTTTGTTGTTGAACAAAAGGCAATAATTAAGAGGAGGTGTAGAGGCACAGCAGGCAATGATAGAGATGTAGATGCAGTAGCTCTGTCTTCTGTACACTCACATATACTCAAACACACATATTTTTAAAATAATAAGGCATTTGAGTTCTCTGATCATGGATAATGTGTCTAATGTAAAAAGTTTTGTTCTATTAGGATTTAATGACACGATGAATTTCACAGTACCCCTCTTCATAATAACTTTACTGCATTATTGTGTGATTCTGTTTTTCAATATCTCTCTTGTGCTGCTCATTGTCTTGGATGAAAACCTCCATGAACCTATGTACATTTTTCTTAGTAGCTTTTGCATTAGTGCAATTTATGGGACCACAGGTTTCTACCCAAAATTCCTTTCAGACTTACTGTCATCTTTTCATCACATCTCCTATGAAGGATGCCTTTTGCAAGCTTTTATCATGTACTTATTTCCTTGCTGTGATTTGTCCATTTTAGCTGTTATGGCCTTTGACAGGTATCTGGCTATATGTCGCCCTCTGCACTACCACTCTTTCATGACTAAGAAGAGGCTCTCACAGCTGGTGTGTTTCTCCTGGCTGACTCCTTTATGCATTTTATCCATCAATATCCTGCTAACATCAAGACTGACCTTATGCAGATCAAAAATTGAGAAGGTCTTCTGTGTGAACTGGGTAATTGTTAAACTTGCTTGCTCTGACACAGACACCCTTTTAAATAGTGTTGTTTCATATGTAACAATTATCATTTATCTGTCTCATGGGTTTTTCATAATGTGGACGTACATGCATCTTATTAAAACATCTGTAAGGTCCAAAGAAGACAGGGCGAAGTTTATGCAGACCTGTGTGCCCCATCTGACTTCTTTAATCACATTTTTGATTGTAATACTTTTTGATTTGATGTATATGCGATTTGGCTCTGCAGATTTACCCCAAAGCCTCCAAAACTTCATCGCTATTGAATTTCTCGTCATCCCTCCAGTTATGAATCCCCTCATTTATGGATTTAAACTTACCAAAATACGAAATAAAATTCTGAGTTTTGTTTACCGTAAACAAAAATAACCACTTTAATAAAGTTTAATCACTCAATGTTTTTCTCATTATTTCTTTGTTCATAGACAGTGACAAAACAGGGTGCAAATTCATGTTTCAGTATTTTGTCAGGGATACATCCCTGAGCCTCATCATTTATCCAGGAAAATAATGGGGATTTGTTTCAGCTCATTGTTCATTTTTATTGAAATTATTTGTTGTTATATGAAGTACAAGATGTTTTTCTGCTGCTGTATGCAAATCAAATTGAAAATAGACACACAAATACACATGTGGAATGTAAGAGAATTAAAAACAATTGTCTTAAACTGAAGCTTTTTTGTGTCATAGCATAAATAGAAAGGACAAGGGTTTGAGGAACTATTTCAGTATTTTATTTTAAAATGTTCTTGGAAAAACATTTTTTCCATCAATAGGATTTTTGTCAGGCATGTGTCAGGTCAGAGATCAGGTTTCCTTATTAGAAGCACGAACCACCACATGATACCAAACACAACTTCATAAACACCTGAACGAGTTTCTAATATTATAATGTTATTATGACAACACCTCTGATTGTGTAAGTAACAAAAAGATAAGAACAAAAATAATAATGAAAAGATAATAGATGGCATAAAAAAACATGTGTGGATCTTATTTAGAAGATGTATCTATATTATAATTCTCTAGTTTTTGGTTGTTTTTTTTTACTTTTCTGTAACCTATTTTTTTGTTTTGTTTTGTTTCTGTCTTTCTAAGTAATTCATAGGTTTGATGGTCTGGTTTAAACATACCCTAAATTATCAGCCTCCCACATGCCAATCTGCCATCTGGAAACTCTTTGTTCTATTTGGATTCAACTTTCAACTCATTTTTTTTTTGCAGAAATGTATTAAGAGACAATACAAACACAAAAAAAACATATTTCTCCATAAATTAAAACATAACTTTATGCTGCGTGTCTGTACTCTACATGGACATCTTCACCTTTCTGCACTCCTTCCTGGTTGTACAGTAGAATATTATTACTGCTATAGTTAAATAATTATCTGTTATATTAGAAAAATGGTTTATTATTAGCTTATTATTATTGCTAATTGGAGACTTCATGTGACATTTTTTTTGCATTTCACAAGACTACTGAAACTGAGACTTCAGATTCTTATCATACAACTGAATCGGTAAGACTAAGGAAAATTTCAGGCTTTTATCTTTAATAGTTTTTGAGATATTCATATTAATTCAAACTTTGCTTTAGATTTCCATGTGTGAAAAAAGACCTTGTATAAGTCAAACTTTGGAACGTACAATTTTCAGGCACAGAGTTGGGTGAGCAGAAAATCTTCTAATAGTCTGACAGTTTAAGATGCCCCAACATTTCTGCCATATCCTGTATAATATATGACTATTTTATTTTACCAGCTATTTCCATACAGAGGACTTATGTTCAAACTACCATTTATTTAAAGCCGAAATAAAGCACAAAAACTGTTGTGATGTGAGTATAATTTTGGCATCTGCATCTAGTTACTCAGTTGCTGTTAACATTCAGCAGATCAAAGTGTACAGCTGACATTATTTCCAATGTGGCATAAAAAAAAAATCAAATAAATGCACTTTGGGTTTCACGTACAGAACACAAAAGCAGTAGAAGCCAAGACCATATTTCGTCTGTACACTGAACATGGTCATATAATAGATCTTAGGTCTCTTGAATCAGGTATCTAATTTATTGGACCAATAAGCTGCCCAGGAGAGCCCCAGCTGCAGCCCAGCCAGCTGACCTGGCATTCATCCCTGTGCCCACCCTGGATGAGGCCACAAAGGCTCCAGCTGCTGCTCCGAGGGCTGCACCTCCGGCTCTGAGCCATGATGAAGTCAAGCCTGCTTCATGTCTGCTTGCTGGGTTCGCAGACTCTTTCTGTTGGGAAAAAAAGGGACTGTACTAGGCAATCTTTCAGTTATTTATTACACTGTGGGTTGTATTCCAGTACAGTATGTTAGCATACTTGATTTTTGCAAGAATAAGTAAAGGACGTAGTAGCATTGGAGTAAACACACTTAAATGGATTTGGGCAGTAGTTTGGGAAAATGGGAAAACAGCTAATGTAAAAAATCCTGATGACAATGCATCTGCAAAACATTTTGGATGCGTATAATATTCCTGAAACTTAAAATAACTTTTTCAAGTAAGTGATGTGAATTTAGTGAAATAAATTGTATTTGTGGAGTCAAATACCTCAACCCAGCGTGAAATATTTACATAATTTACTTCTGGTTG